TCATCATTTTGTGTTCTTCAGGACCTTGCCTCCAAGAAAGTGATTGGAGTGGGCAAGCTCTGTGATGGCTTCTACCATTTTACAACCCTTGCACAGTCATCTTCAGCACATGTACTTGCTTCTTCCACTATAGATAACATAACATGGCATAGATGTCTTGGTTATGCCTCACGACAGCACATCTCACTCATCAGTTGCATACCTATCACACCGGGAGATTTCGGTTGTGATTCATGCCATCATGCTAAACAAACATGAATTCCATTTCCAGTTTGAGTATCCTGCACCACTACTCCTTTCCAGCTTGTGCATTGTGATATCCGGGGAGGTTACCGAATAGAATCTCAATCTGGAGCTCATTTTTTTCTTACTATCATTGATGATTTTAGTAAAATGCACTTGGGTCTATCTCTTAAGAAATAAATCAGAGGCTGTACAATGGTAAAGCGACAATTTAACTATGGTGTACAATGCATACATTTGGACAATGGTTCTAAATTCATTTCAAAGCCTATTCAACAATACTATGCTACCAAAGGTATCATTGATTAGAGATCTTGAAGTCACTCGAGCTCTTCAGTCTGAAGCTTCTCTCCCTACAACATTTTGGGGGCAATGTCTTCTTATAGCAAATTATCTCATAAGCTTGCTCCCAACACCGCGATTATAAGGCAAATCACCATTTGAGGTACTCTATCGCAAACCTCCTGACTATGAGCATCTTTGTACCTTTGGGTGCTTATGCTACACCCAAGTTCGTCCATGTCAAAGGGACAAGTTTGCTAGCAAGCCACTAAAGTAACTTTTTGGGTTATCCTCATGGGCAAAATGACTATAGAATTTTTTACCTTACTTCTCATCGCATTTTCACCTCTAGAGATGTGGTTTTTTATGAATCCACATTCCCTTTTCAGAACATTGACATTAATGTTCCCATAATCTTATTCACACCCGTCATACGTTTACCACAACCCTCAGATTCATTAACTAACACCTATCCACCTGTACCAGTACCATTCCAAGAACCCACTAATATACCAATTAATGAACCCACCATTAACACCACCATCATGCACGTACCTGAGTCTACTACTGAACCGATCCCTGATCAAAATACCAACACAAACAGTCCTGACCACATTCATGAGCAAGTTACTAATGGTGATAATAACTTAATGAAGAAGAACCAATACTCTTAATTGTCAAACCTTCGCCACTACCAATTTTGACTTGGTCCGTACCTAAATATTCAAACTTGTTTTGTAAGTTATCAGCATCTGGAGCCATGTGATGAATTGCTCCACTATCAGGGTACCAAGCAGGGGCGAAATTAGTTGTTGAACCATTATAGGAAGACATGCCACTATGAAATGCAACTATAGGATCTGGAGAATTATTGTTGTGTTCTCCTTGGTATGAGAGATTGTACCGTTTGTAGCACTTAAGTGCACCATGGTTAGGTTTGTTACATACTTGGCAGATAATTGTATTACCTCTACCACGACCTTGTCCTCGTCCAGAATGATTGCCACGCCCCCTGCCTCTGCTACAGCCAAAGTTCCCTTTGTAATTCTGAAACTAAGAATTATTGTTGCTATTCTTGTCATTATTGTTGTTATTTGCAGATATATTGGCATTGGGAGCTTCATTGGAAACATTATGTTGAACAAGCCAAGATTCATGGATAAGAAGTAAACCAAGAGCATCATTGATGCCTAACTGATCAGCATCAGTTCTGTTAGTAATAGATGTGATAAGAGATTCATATTCACTTCCTAGCCTAGATAAAACATAAAGAACAAGGTCTTCTTTAGCTACCAGTTCAGAAACAACAGACAGATTGTATGCAATGGTTTTTGCTTTCTGAGCATACTCACTTATGGATAGTTTGCCTTTCTTAAGATTTTGTATATGTCGCCTTAGTTGTAGCACCCTAGATCATGAGTGAGAAGAGAATGATCTCTCTAGGGCACTCCAAACTTCAGCTGTAATAGACAGTCCAACAACTTGGGCTAATACGCCCTCTGTTAGAGATGCAACAAGCCAATTTAGAACAAGTTGGTCCAACTATACCCGTGAAGAATAGTTTGGGTTAAGAGTTTTCTTATTACCATCATTAGGATCTGGCTGGAATTTCCTCTAGTGGTGCCTTGGCCGACCCATCAATCAAACCCATTAGTTTGTAGGCTCTGAGTACTAGCAGAAGTTGAGCCCTCCATAGAAGAAAGTTTTCTCCATTCAGCTTAATGGTGAGATATGGAAAAATATTGGGAATGGAGTTCATGGATATTGTAGTAGTCATGTTCTGAAGATTAGAAGAATTGGAACTCATGGCTTCAAACGAATTAGCACTATGAGATGCCATAGGCTCTGATACCAAGTTAAGAATGTAGAAGAGAGAAAACAATAATAAAAAATAAAAGAATCCTTTGTATTACTTGACCTGTCGACCAGGCTGAGATGGGTACAATATATATACACAAAGAACAAAAATAATAAAGGAAAATAAGAATAGAATAGGTAGTTGCCTATGTACAATAATTCCTAATTAATTCTTCTCTTTCTAATTTAGTCGGTTTCCAAACCTGTGTGAGAGACTCCATTAGTAACTGCTATTCTTGAGAGAGAACCTCCATTGGTAACTGCTAATCTTGAGGGAGATCTTTCATTGGTAGCTACTATTCTTGAGAGAGAGTCTTCTTTGGTAGCTGCTAAAGAACCTTTATTGGTAACTGCTAAACTGGACTGAGAGCCTCCATTGGTAACTGTTAAACTTGTGAAGTTACCTTCTGAAGAGCTTTCCTTAATACGAAGAGACCTGGTATTGAACTCGTAACTCAAAATTTGCCTCTGAAACTTCCAATTGTCGCTGTTGGCGTTGAAGATTCCGGCACCGAGCAAGTCTTGGAGGCCCACTCGGATGAAGTTGCCTTTTGGGTAAAGGTAGAATTGGGTCTTGAGTGTCAAACGTTGGAAGGATTGGCAGTGCAGATTTGATGGGAACCAAAACAACAATCGAAAACAAAGGTTCCATTGGGGGAGTGTCTTAGAAGCCTTGCAAACCAATCTTCGACTCGGTGTCGATTGACGTATAAGGCCAAGAATGAATCGATCAACGGGCTAGGTAGTTTACTGGCTGGAGATGAAGACGACTTCCTACCCAGATAGCTACTGAACATGGAGAGGAAGAAGAATGGAACGATGAAGAGAAGTGAAGGTAAGAGCTCAAATTGGAACATGGTGATCTGACAAGAATTTTGATTGGATGAAACAAACTAAATGGAGGATAGGAACAAGCTACAAGTGACGAACCATAAATATCAGATCAATGAAGCTTAGAGAATTCAGCACGAAGACATCATGGGTATTGCCCCTGTTTGTCTTTAGAAATCTATTTAGCTGAGTAACACGTCAAAGTTCAAACTTACCTACACAGTTGAACTTAGAGATGGGTTTTGTGGGTCCTATATAAATAATATCTCTGCTGATGGTTTGAATAATGCTTAAGGCTTAAGAAACAAATGGAGATGGATAGAAGTTATGGAAAATTGGTCAATCAAGGTGTGAATACTTAAAAACGTTAGGCTCAGTTTGGAAAGAGTACAAATGCAAATATGTACAGCGTAAATACATACAAAATAATACAAAATATAAGGTTTTACTCCTTCCAAACTCAGCCTTAGTAACTTGATTCATGTCGGATCTTTCTTCAATTCCAACGTTGATTATAAAAGTTGTTTTTCTTTCTTTCTTTAGTTGGTTATATTGCAACCATTGTTTATATTGATTGATAGTTGATGAATCAATGGCGCCTTGGTTGATGGAAAGCCTAAAACTTGGGTGTAGTTTACGAATTCAAAGCTGCAGAATCATGGGTATTCGAGTTATTGCTCCTCATGATATTCTTATAGCCTCATCTAGTCTACCAAAATACAATATGATCAATTTCAGCAAGAATGGCATGATTATTCATGGTTATTGCAGATGCAATTATTGACTGTGGCCTTCGAAGCACCAACCACCCAAAGTTTGGACATTGGATAGCATCCTACTGCATGCCTCTTGTGGGCACAATACAAAATGCATGGATGCATCCCACAGGCCACAGCAATGCCAATTGGAGGAAGAAGTGCATGAGACTTGATTATATCATCTGAACCAGTGACCCTGTGTCATTACACCACCTCAAGGGAATCGAACAAATTTAAGCATATAATGGAACTTGGATGAATAGAATGATTTTGTTCAGTTTATCTAGGAAGACCCTGTTATATGGAGAGTCAATAACAGAACTTTGTTATTTCTGTTTGTTGGTCAATGGCTGACCCTTGAGCAGCCCTATTCAATAGGAAAGGTTTCAAATTTTGCATTTAGGAAACTTTTTTAAGTGTTGCAGTTTGCATTTTGGAACTTATACAAAATAACAAAAATTAAATGCACTGAATACATATGCTAGGATTCAATCCGAGCCTGGGAAATGAACAGCATATGAGCATACTACCCTTTTCCATGAAAAATGTCCAGCCATTTTTCTATTTGGGCATCTAAATTTGATGCTCTTCTAACAACAAATAATCATCCCAGTATACGGAAGATATTCCAAATGTTAAAATCTAATTTAAGAAGGAAATTATAATCGATAGAATCCTGTTCCATTTTCAACTTTTCGGTAAACATCACATGCTTTTTAAGAGTTCCATAACAGTACTGGAACTATTACTTACCAAAACTGGAACGTTCGTTATTCACCAAGTATTAACTTCCCTTGTATGCATGATTTCAGTTCTTTCATTTTCATCAAATCTAAAAATATGATTACTAACTTATTATAGAAAAGTAATGACATATTGACATGTTCAACCAGTGGAACATCTTGAAACTTTTGACAGGTTAAATGAGCACTTTACAAACCATATCACGAATTATAAGAGATGCTTCTTTAAAAAAAAGGCTCAACCAGTGGAACATTCCTGGAAAAATCAGGAAACTTTCATTGCGTATTGCGTAAGATCATTATAACCAAGTGAAACCTCAATCTGTTTGAATATACAACATCAGTATGTTGGTTGATAGAAACCAACCTAAAGAATAATGAAAAAATTGCTATCTTTACATGCATATATTACCCCTTCTATAACTTAATTAAAAGCTTGCTGCTCAAAAACAAAAGATTACAACATATACATTCACCCTACAAGCAATCTAAATAAAACCAAGGTAAGGATCAAAATATACCAAATGAAAGAAGAAAACTCTTTCGAAAAGAAAAGAAATAAAGCTTAAAGAGAATGCTTCAAGACTTGATAACTAACTACATGAATCTTCCATTTCTTGAAAAGAATGAAGCTGACGATATTTTATATACAATCCTCTACTTGATCATCAAATTCCTTGGGTTAAATCATGGATGCAAGATTACCCCTCTTCTCTTGACCCATGCTTTGACTGAATTTTTCCTGTTTTCCAGAATATCAACTCCCTGTTTTTAAGAGGTATAAGAAACACTGATTATCAATCAATCAAAGGTTAATACAGATGATTCATAATATCTATGTGATAATGAAATGGGAGCACAAACATGAATTTTCTTGCTACTCTGTTTTTTTTTTTTTTTTTTTTGATAAGTGGCTGGATACATTCATAATATCTAAGGCAATCCATGTATGCAGAGCATTCAAGTTTCCCCCACTTCCACAGCAATATAATTACAAGCCATGACAGAAGAGAAGAATGGTAAGATAGCACCACTTATCTAATAAACAATAAGGTTCCTATGCAATCTCTCCTAGGCAAAATTAGATTCTCTACAAGGATATTTATGAACCTCAATCCTTCCAAAATTTGATGCTCCTAATGAGAAAATACCTGTAAAAATTGGACAAAAAAAACTGTACAACATGCTTGACAAGAAAAAAAAAAGACGAAAGATTCTCTTCCATGCTTGTATCTGATGTTTGGCCAAAAGGAAGTTGGTAAGCCACCCAAGCAAGTACGTAGGCAAATATTTAGGTCATTTCCTGGAGCAGTGTGAGTTATCTAGGGCAGCCTAGGGAAACAATGAAGTACATGTGGAATTGAAACTTCACTCATAAAAGAAATCCTATGGATAAGTCCGTTTGTTTCCTTTCTTCTGCATATTTAGATAGGAAAAAAATACCAAGATTTTTCTTGATACTTCCCAATTCCCATTGTCATCAAATTATCACTAGGGCATCTAACAGGGCAAATTTCTTTAAAAAAATTGGCTTCTCTCAAGAGTATTTATGCTTAAGGTCTTAATGCAGGAGTTGAAGAGTCAATCTGGAATTTTCTGAAATTTTATGTATTTCCATATTTTTGGACAATAGGTATTTTGTCATTTTGACCGGTCCCATGTGGGAATAGGCTATAGCACCTTGTTTCTCTAGTCTAAGGCTTCTGTTTCAATTTTCAGTTTATTTACATTAGTAGGTAGAAAGCTATTGTGTTTCTTGACGCAAAAGGAGTGGCATTTTTTTAATTATGATGAATAGTATTCCAGGTCACACAAGTCACTCTATATAAATAGACGTATTCTCTTCCTTTTGAAGTTAAGGAATGAAAATTTCTTTAAGAATTCTCTTGCAAGCTTGCTGTATGTAGTGATTCCTACACACTCTAGGACCCTTGGAGTGATTCATTGGGATCTCTCTATCTCTCTCTCTCTCTCTGAGGAGGAGGAGCTTTGGTATCAGAGTTAATAGTTATTCAGTATGTTCTCACAAAGTGACCAATTCTATTAACCTAGGGTATCTTCTAAACATATGGATCTAGGAGCAATGATGATTGTGTCTTTGAACCATACAAAGGGCCCTTGGTTGACTTACTTGAGAAGCTGGTGGAAGAATGAAGATCTAATAATGTCAACTACAATTGTAAAGTTTCCAAGTGTGTTAGAAGAATATTTTGTTTGGCAGGATATTCTGAATTTAGATTTTGCATGCATGAGGCTCACGTGGGCATGCTAAAGTGTGGTGGAGAATTCTTGAGCAACAACTAGAAAATAGTGGTCAATATCCTATTATCACGTGGGCAAAGATGAAGAGGTATTTGCAAGAAAAGTATACTTCCATGATGATCTATATATGGAGTTGACAAGTCACACGCAAGGTATGCTATCTGTAGTTCAATATATGCATAAGATTGATGAATTATATATATATATATAATATTGATAAATAAATGATGAATTATATATTAGATGTCAAAGTTTTAAAAACCAACTCGGAAATGGAACCGCTTTGGCGAGCGGTTTCTGGGTCAGAAGTACAACCATCTGGGTCGAACCGTTTGAACCATTGAGTTAAAATACACATTGTGTTATATCTCAGCCCTTAGATAATAGATTAGAATACTAGGGCAAGAAGATATATATATATATATATATAAAGAAGAGAGGAGTATGTGGTGGCAATGGTAACCAGCAATGCTGACAGATACAACAGTGGTGATTCTGTTCATCGTCGCCAGCATTGCAGAGATCTGATCCCTCCCTCCCTCACTCTCTCTCTCTCTTCATTTTATTTTTTTTGTTATTTTAATTCAAAAAATGTAAATATTTTCATTGAACCGTGAACCGTTGTCCAGGTGGAATGGTTCAGTGTCTAATCGTTCAGGTCAGCAGTTTGCTGACCAATTCAACAGCTTTTTACAAAAGAATAGATCAGAGGGAAAACAGAACCAAATAGGTGACCAGTTTCTAGGTCAAGCACTTCAACCACCCAGGTCAATGATGGTTTTGAAACCATGATGGATGTGACATTATATAATGTGCAAGGAACGAATTTTCACAAATGGACTAAGGGATAATATCAAGAAGGAATTGTCTACAATTCAAATTTATAATGTAGATCATGCTTTTGAATTGGCTCTAATGATAGAGAAGAAACATTACAAGAATTGGTAGCAAATGAGAAGAACATACAAAGTTGAATATAAAGAAGATGATTCATTACATGTTGATGCCTATCCTAGAGCTAAAGTTGTGAATGAAGCTAAAGAACTAGAATTTCAACCTATAAAAGTTGTAAACATTGAAGATTAAGATGGTACAGGCCAAGAAAAGATAGAAATTGTTCAGAAAGGAGCTTCCGAATGTTTTGGTTGTAGTAGATCTTAGTAAGGAAGTCGTGACTTTACCTTACAAGTTGAACTGGAACCAATTTAAGAATTACAAGCTGACATAGCACAAGTTCCACCAATATCAATAATGGAAGAAGGCCAAGAGTTTGCTAAAGAAACAAGGGTAGCTGAACACATAGAGATGGAGATTTCTCAACTAGAGAGTAGAGATTGTAGAAAAAGGTCCAAATGTTTCAGGTGTGATTTTGTATATGAACAAGTTTGTAATAATAAGAGGAAGATTCACTACAAGATAGGTTGATTGACGATGTAAGCGTTCAAGAAGCTAATGTTATTGATGATTTAACAAAGAAGGTTATGGAAGGAAGTATTTCAGACTCTCAAAGAACCATTCAACTTAAAAGCTTAAACTGTTAAGTGAGGCCCTTGAATAGGTTTTATTCTCGAACATGCCCCCTCACACGAAAGCCCATTGAGCTTAAAGCATGGACAGCACAGGCCCACCCATACCTTGTGCTGAAACTTAATTAATTATAATGGGGGTGACTAGAATCGAACACTAGACCACTTGGTCAAGGTAGCTCTGATACCATCTCAAAGAACCATTCAACTTAAAAGCTTAATCTGTTAAGTGAGGCCCCTGAATAGGTTTTATTCTCTAACACAGACATAGATTGCTTTCAAGATCTGTTTCTAGCTATGTGTGTGGCATCTACTCTACAGTCCAAGTGTGTTGAAATAGCTATGCCAACTACTACTTTTGTCATTAAGGTAGATCAACATCAACTTTTCATCCTCAAGTTCTTCAAAACTCATGGACGAGTTTTTCTGAACCAAAGGAGAACAATACAGGAGCAGAAGAATCAAATTTGGAATTTTCTGAAATTTTATGTATTTCTGTATTTTTGGATAGTAGGGATGTTTCTGTCATTTTGAGCAGTTCCATGTGGGCTTGTGGTATAGCATCTTATTCCTCTAGTCTAGTGGGGTTTCTCTTTAATTTTCAGTTTATTTGCATTACTAGTTAGAAAGTTGTGTTTCTTGATGCACAAGACAAGGAATGGCATTTTTGTAATTATGGTGAAAAGTATACGGGCCACACAAGTCACTCTATAAATGGATGATGTATTCTCTTCCTTTTGAAGCTAACGAATGAAGATTTCTTTAGAGTTCCCTCGCAAGTTTTCTGTATGGAATGATTTTTATACACCCTAGAGTGATTCTAGGACCCTTGGAGTGATTCCTTGGGATCTCTCTCTCTCTCTCCTATTTATCGATCGTTTATTCTAGCTTTTCTGCATCAGGTCTACAAGACATTACCCTTTCATCAGTGGAGAGTCATACAATTTCGTGGAAATGTCAATCACCCAAATATAGGAAATATGTCAAAACTATTGGAAATATTGTAAAAATTGTAGACATGGTGGATACATTGTGAAATATGTGGAAATATACAAGAATATTTTATGAAATGATGAAGCATAGATAAATACCCATTTAGATTATTATTTTGCTCCAAATCATCAAACAAAACCAAGAAACTTAGGTTAATAGACAATAATACACTGTGAAGTTGTCAAGTAAACTTACAAGAGTTAAAACCACAAAATAGAATTAGCTGAAGCAAAATGTAAACTCATAGAATGTGTAAATGATTCTAATAGATCAACTGAACAACGTTATTAGACAACAAAAACTAAGATCTAATGTCACATCCAAAAGGAATTTAGAGCTGGTTCAAAGGGGTCATCATCCCTGTTGACAGATGTTGTTGTACACATGTTTAGTACCGCAAGGGTACTTTTGTAATTTCTTCATATTTTATGTTGTACGACCAGCCTAGTATAAATA